GTTGGATCAGTCGATTTCATCGGTTTAGTGAACAACCCTAGCTGAAATTAATTATTGTTATTTATGTATTATAAAAATTATTAAAATAGTATATATAATATAAATAATTATTAATTATTTAAAAAATATAAAATATAAAGCTGTTGTATACTCTTATGTGTTTTCATTGTTTAGCTTTCACTTAACAAATCACATGCATTGCACGGGTCCCTACTAGTTTTTTTTAAAAAATGAAATTTGATTTAATCAAAATAATTGAATAAGAGGCTCGATTTATTTATTTTCGTATTTTCTTGATTCAATTCGATTTTGTTTTGTTTCGTAGAATTTCAAGTAATTTGGTTTGCTTTGTTCAACGAACCAACAAAACCGATTGCTCACTCCTCCAATACCAATGCAACCATCTCTCCTTACTACATTTCTTTGTAAGTGGCTGTTGTGAAGCCCATCACCAAAACCACTCTTATTATAACACCTAATTTCATTCATTCCTCTACCCCAAGGAATAGATGTGGATTTGTAGGAAGAAGGAAGAGTTTAGATTTGTAATGTTGATCCTTGATGAGGACATCACCCTATTATGTAAGAGTTACAAGGCTGTAGTTATGATAGTTTCGGGTGTGTAGAGCCTAAGGAAAGGGTTAAAAAGGATGTAAGGCTGCAAATGGATCGGATTGAATTTGGTAAAGGGTATATACGATAAGAATTCATCAGATTTTCAAGAGTATGATTTAAATTCCAATTTGAATGTTGTATTGGATATCTGATGCGATTAGAATTGTAATAGAAAATGTATGATATAATATAAATAATATATTAAATTATTAATATAATATAATAATATATTATAATATATTTTACGGAGGGGGTATTTGTCATAAAATGAAATTTCAGGAAGTCTTGTTGCAAATTAAAGTTTAGAGGGTAATTTTCATTGATCCCATAAGCCATAGCACTAAGGGGCTTATTAATTTACCCTAAAAATATTAGAGGCCAGCATATGGATGATATGGAGAAAATAAGGGTAGCTTAGCCTAGCCTAAAACGGTGAAATCACATCCTTCCGGGCATTGCTGTGGGCCTATTTATGGGAACGGCATCTGCTTCTTATACGGGGGCGCCTCACATGCACATCCACCGTGCATTGAGAACATCTTCGGTGAATAATAATTTATAAATTAGTAGAGGGGTCCTGCTTCGTAGGGGTGGAATGGAATCGTCGACCCGATGATCTGGTTCTTGGCTAAAAACTGTTGAAAAGGCTAACGATCCATTGATCCGAGCAGTTGAACCATCAACCTATTGACCCATTCAATAGTTTTTGGCCGTTTTTTATGTTTTTAATTGGGAACCATCTAGGCAACCGGTTCCGTTTTATCCTAATCTCGGTCCTTGGCCAAAAATTGTTGAATTGGTCAATAACCCATTGACCTAGACGGTCGAACCGTTGACCCGTTCAATGGTTTTTGGTTGTTTTTTTTTTAATTTTTGTAGTCAGAACGGGCCATCCATTTGAATCGAACAGTCAAACCGTCAACCCGAAAACTAGTGGCCAGAATAGTTTTGTTTTGAGGTCATATGAGTCACATGCTCGAATGACATAACACGTATGGTACTCCTTAATGGACCTCACACACTCACTTTTTTTTCYTGTAATTTTTGTTGTCAGAACAAGTCGTCCATTTTTTTTTTATTTTTTTAATTGGGAACTGTCCAGGCAACCAATTCCATTTTACCCCAATACCGGCAAACCGTTGAATCGGTCAATAACCCATTGACCTGAATGCTCGAACCGTCAACTTGTTGACCCGTTCAATGGTTTTGGCCATTTTTTTATTGTTTTTAATTTTTGTTGTCAGGACGGGCCATCTGTTTGAATCGGACAATCGAACCATCGACCCAAAAACCGGTGCCCAAAATGGTTCCATTTTCGGGTTGTATGAGTCACACACTCGAATGACATAATATGTATGATACTGCTCAATGGACCTTACACACTCAATTTATTGCCTATAATTTTTGTTGTTAAAATGGGTCATCTATTTGAACCGAACAATCAAACCATTGACTCGAAAACCGGTGGCCATAATAGTTTTGTAATTTTTTTTGCTTATAATTTTTTGTTGTCAGAACGGGTTGTCTGTTTGAACCGAATGGTCGAGCCGTCAACCCAAAAGCTGATGGCTAGAACGGTTTCGTTTTCTGGTCGTATGAGTCACATGCTCGAATGACATAACATGTATGATACTACTTAATGGACCTCACAAACTCAATTTTTTGCCTATGATTTTTGTTGTCAGAACGGATTGTCCTTTCAAACCAGATGATCGAACCGTCAACCCGAAAACCGGTGGTCAGAACAGTTCTGTAATTTTTTGCTTGTAATTTTTGTTGTCAAAATGGGCCATCTGTTCGAACTAGACGATCGAACTGTCGGTTGTCAGAACGTTATTAACAACATTTATCAATAATAGTAAGTAATTATACTATTTAATTAAATAATCATTAATGATAGTTTTAATAATATTATTTAGTTATTTTTAATATAACATTAGTTATTAAATTTATGAATAGGATTTATTAACAATATTCATTAAATTAATAATTACCAAAATTAAATTAAATTAACAATATTTATCAGTAATAGTCAGTAATTATAATATTTTATTAAATAATCAATAACAATACTTGTAATAACATTTTTAATTATTTTTAATATAACAATAATTACTAAATTTATTAATAGTATTTATAATTTTAATGTAAAGTAAAATTAAAGTAAATATATATTTATTAACAATATTTGTAATAACAATAATTATTATTATAATCACTAATTATATATTTATTAAATTACTGTAATAATCAGTAGTTATTAAAACCGGGTTACTAAATTTATTAACAGTATTTTTTAATAACAATATTTATAATTTTAATTTAAAGTAAAATTAAAGTAAATATCTAGTTATTAACAATATTTATAATTTTAATTTAAAGTAAAATTAAAGTAAATATCTAGTTATTAACAATATTTATAATAACAATAATTATTAATTATAATCATTAATTATATATTTATCAAATTACTATAATAATTAAATAATTAAATTAGTGTAATAATTACTCTCACGTGGAATCTACTCGCATGAACATCCATTTCCTATTAATATATATACTAGTGGAAGGGAGCCCTGCGTTGTAGGGGCTCGCTCATAAACTATCAGGCTCGAGCTCGAGCTTAGCTCGAGTCAAAAGCTCGAAAGTTTGAGCTCGGCTACCTTTAATTGCAGGTCTCTCAAGTAGTTGAGGTGCCAAGCCGAGGTCTCCCTCAGCTGCTGAGGTTTCCCTAGCAGGCGAGGTCGAGCTAAGGTCTCCCTTAGTTGACAAGGTGCCAAGATAAGGTCTCCCTCAGTTGTCGAGGTGCTAAGTTGAGATCTCCCTTGGTGACCGAGTCGATGTTTCCCTTAGTGGTTGAGGTGTCGTCTAGTTCAAGCTTGATTCAAATTAGAGACTTGAGATTGAGCTCAGAAGTTTGAGCTTGGCTTGGTTCGAACTCAACTACCTTTGATTGCAGGTCCCCTAGCAACTGAGATGTCGAGCTAAGGTCTTCCTTAATTGGAGAGAGAGTGACATTCTTGTAATTTATAAGGAGAGAGAGTGGCATTCTTGTAATTTATAAGGAGAGAGATGGCATTCTTGTAATTTGAAAGAGAGAGAGAGAGAGAGAGAGACTTTAGCCGAGCCAAGGCTCGGCCCACGGGTCTACAAGCCGTGTTGCCCTCCCTAGGCCTATGCCATGCTGCGGGTCCGTGGACCGAGCCTTGGGCCAAGTCGGGCCGTGCATCGGGCTAAAGCTATTTATTTAAAAAAATGACAAAAAACTTAAAATTTTAATTTTATATGAATTTTGTGTATACAATTGCTTATATATGCAATAATTAAAAAATTAGTATAATAAAATTAAAAAATTATTTATTTTATTAATATATTATATACTATATATTATTATATAATTATAATTTATATAATATTACATAAATATATAAAATATATAAATAATATATAAAATATATATAAATAATATATATGGGCCGTGCTGGGCTGGACTGTGTCGGCTCGTGGACCTAAAACCCCAGGCCCAACACGACTCGCATGATCATGTCGGGCCTGGCATAGTTCGTGAACCGTCGTGTTGGGTTGTGCCAAGCCGTGGGTGGCACGACTCGATTTACACCTCAAAGGAGAGAGAGTGGCAATCTTATAGTTGAAAGAAAAAAAGTAAGAGAGAGAGATGGTAGAGAGTGGCATTTTTATAATTTCTATGAAAAAAATGTAAAAAATATGATAGATTCCATTTCCCTCATCTTAATGCCTTCTTACCTACACATTTCAGTTTAATATATTTATATAGATATAGATAGACAGGGAAATGTTCCCATTGTACGATATGCATGTGAGGCGCGAATGAGGCGCCATGTGTGAGGAGCAGATCCAGTCTCTTATGTCAATTAAAGTGGAGCCACATCAATACATTCAGTGCTATGATCAGGCCAGGGATACTCCGACGGTTGTTCAACTTGTGCTTCACGATTTTAACCCAATCTATTCCAACGGGTGTAGCTGATATTAAAGTATGCATTAAATTTCAGTTATGCCCGTTAGAGAGACGAGAGTATTCCGATTGGCTGAATTCTGGAGACAAATTCATCGACAAAGGGTTGGACAACTCATCACAGATAAACACGTCAGCATTTTGCACGCCTAGTTCCTACGCAGGCCCCATAAATACGAAACACTAACGTGTTCCTCGTTACAGACTTACAGGTTGTGCATGATTTTCCTCCAACCCATCTGGTGCCGTTGAAGTAGCCAGGCCTAAAACCGTGAAATCATGACCTTCGATGCATAGCTGTGGCCCCACTTTACGTCATTCATCCAATTGAAGGTGGGGCCAAAAGCTGGTCGATTACAGCAGATCCGGACTGCGAGACACGAGAGCTCCAAAAATTTCTCCCTTAGATCTCCTCCTCTCCTACGCTCGTTGTATCTTGTAAATTGTAAATCTCTCCTGGTTTCCGTTTCCCGAAGACCATTTTGTTGTACTGTCACATTCTCTCTCTCTCGCGACATGGACGACGGAATCGAGCCCTCGACCTCGTCTCCATCGTCGTTAAACAAAGAACCAGTGTTTCTTCGAGCAAGAAGAGAGCCATTCGAGTACGGACTTCTCCCAATATCGAAGCTCATCTTCTCTGACCGGACGGCAACCCTAGGTCCCCTCAAGGAAAAGCTCATCCAACGAGCCTCGTCCTCTCCTCCACGAATCGACGCCGATGGCATTTCCGAAGTCCTTCAGATCTCGATCGAGAATGCTCATCTCGTTCTTGACACCCTCGCCGCTGTTCTCCCCTCGGATTCCGATCCCCTCGTTTCTGCCAAGCCTCACGAGCTTGGTTCGGTCGGTGCCAATGTTGATGATCTGATTTTGTTTCTTTATATCCAATCCTACAAGAGGCTTCTCCCTAAAACGCATAAGGACTCAGCTTCCGTTGCTGATGTCTGGCCTTCCACTTCTGCGTTCGACGGCTACTTGTCGGCCCTCTCCCCCATGCAGGTACTGTTTAGAGGTTATACTTTTAAGGATAGTGCAATGTGATATCTGAGGATTCCGATTTCGTAATTCAAGATAATCTCAGAATGTTTGTTGATTCAACGGTTGTTCTCTTTTACATTTTCTTTGCTGTGCCAATTTTCTTAATCGAAGCGCATTCTTAATGTTTTCTTTGTTTTCATGGATGCATTATGTAGTCTATACTTGGTTTTGGCAATTAAAGGTTTTACTTTGGTTACGGGATTTTCTCTATTTAAAAACTGTTTAATAATTATGTGACGCAATGTAAAGTTATATTTTAGAAGAAGCTGGAAGAATTTGTGCTTAGGAGTTATTTTGGTTAACTTCTACTGACTTTTTCTCCACTCTTTTCAGTTTGTTTATCTTGAATGTTCGAGTTCGCCTAAGCGTCTTTTGCATCTTAGGATGATTTTTGCTGGATGTGTCTATTAGGTTAACAATTAAGCAATGGGGTCATTTCATGCTTGTGGTGCGTTACATTTAGGTCATCATATGTGTTTTTTTTTTTTTTTGTGAACAATTCATCCCATGCTTATTTCTAAACCTTGCCATAGGTCTAATGATGTTCAGTTTATGTTCGTGTGTTAGATTTGATTCATCTACTATTTATTTTCTTAAGCTTACTTTATGCCCGGTATCCCATCAATTGCAGCTTGTGCGTACCAACAGCCGTCGGTTTATGCCATCACAAGCTGATGAAGAGGCCCATCAGTTATCCTATTTAGAGAAGCACATGGAAAACATTATAGCACTACTGGCAGAGCCTGTTGAAGGCAATGATGAGGAAACTCTGGTCAGTGAACCGACTGTCTTTTTTCTCCTCTCTCTCTCTCTCACCTTCTTGCATGTTTGATATCACAAATCTCATTACTTTTGGGTAGGATAACCTGTTAGTGAAGAGAACAAGTGAACTAGAAGAATAATTATCAAAAGAAAAAAAACAAGTGAACTAGAAGAAGAACTTTTTGTATATAAGAGGTTTTCTGTATACAATGCCTCTATGCAAACTGTAGTCTGTCAAGTTACAATATTATTGATCACTCCCAATTATAGTTTCTATGGAAAGAACAAAAGGAAATAAAAAAATGGCCAATAAAAAACATATTCTAATTTCTAAATAGGAAATCCACAACACATGCCAGTGCTTTGATATCAATTCAACAAAGTCATCTGCATACCTTGTCTTCTAAAATGAGATGTTCAATTTGAAGATCAAGGCTTTAGTCTCTTTGGTGTGTGGAATCCACCCCAAAACAATGAACGGATCTTGCTTCATAACCAACCCACCAAAATTCTGGAGCAAAAGTTTAATTCCTTAGATGAATGACAAGAGCTCAATCTATTTGATTTGTGTTTTCCTACAAACCTGAGGGAATGATGAATTGAAGATAATAGGACTTTGAAAATTCATTCAATGCCAGTAGGCACCACATTTGCTTTTGAACAACCTTCAAAGTTCAACATAATAGAGTCAAAGTTGGAGCTTGCCAATTCTCCTCCTTCTGAATTGTTCAAGGGAACATACTAGCTTGAATGTTACTCAACTAGTCCCAATTAAATTGTCAATGGAGATGCCTTCAACATCTAAATAAGTGACGATTGTGCATAGTTTTGAAGGTGCAAGGTGAAGGTAGGCAATGACGTGGGAACACCTTGTTGCCAAGGCAATGGATTTTTTTTTTTGTTTTTTAGTAGAACTCTAAATCCTAGGGTAATTCCCTAGGTTCCATAGCAATCAAAAAAATCTTTCACTAATAACTAGCAACTAGCTTCTTCTTTTGATAATTGGATAATAATTTTATTAGCAAAAGATAGAAATTGTAACACGCCTTATATGGACTGAAGCAATTTCCTAGAGCTTGGTTTGAGAAGCTTTGTGGGGCCACGAAGAGAGTGGGATACACTCAAAGTGGTGCTGATCATACTTTGTTCATACGGAAATAGGGGATATGTTTACTGGTCTCATAGTTTATGTGGATGATATGGTAATTACAAGAAATGATCTAGAAGAGACAAGACTAAAGGAATTCTTCGCATTTGAATTTGAGATTAAAGATCTAGGCCAGCTGGGGTATTTCCTTGGGATTGAAGTTGCAAGGTCACAAGAGGGAGACATGTATGATGGGGAGCAGACCATTAGATACACCGATAGAGCAAAGTCATGGTTTTTAGGAGTCTATTGGTGAGGACTACTCTAACAAAGAAGGTATCAAAAGCTAGTGGGAAAATTGATATATTTCTCTTAATCAACCTGATATAGCTTATGTGGTACATTGGTACATGTTGTGAGTCAATTTATGCATGCTCCCAAGATTTTCCACATGAAAGCAGTTGAAAGGATCCTTAGGTATTTGAAGACTTGTCTAGGGAAGGGAGTCCTGTTCAAGAGGCACAATAGACTTGAGATTGAAGCATATACTGATGCTGATTGGACTGGATCAATTGGAGATAAGAAGTCTACTTCTGGATATTGCACATTTGTTGGAGGGAACCTAGTTACATGGAGAAGTAAAAAGCAAAATGTGGTTGCGAGATCAAGTGCAGAAGCTGATATAGGGCCGTGGCCCATTGTGTTGCAGAACTATTGTGGTTTAGGACTCTCCTAGGTAATCTAGGAATGAAAATTGATCATTGATAGTCCTCTCAAGCTGTACTGTGACAACAAGGCTGCTATTAATACTGCAAACAACCCTGTACAGCTACTCAACGTGATAGGACTAAGCACATTGAGATGACCAACACTTTGTGAGAGAGAGAATTGTCTTAGGCGAGCTTTGCATTCCTTACACACTCTCAGAGATGCAAATTGCTGATGTTTTGACAAAAGGCCTACCCTCAATAAAGTTCCTTGGTTTACTTGGGCAAGCTAAACATGACTGACATCTATGTTAGTTTGAGGGGGAGTGTTGTATCGAGTGCGCCATATGTTAGTGGGCCTATTTGTCTTATTTATGTTTCAGCATTATTCACTGTTATGGGCCGAAGCTGTCTTATTATTTAAGTGCTAGGTGTTCCATCACTAATCAGGGGCATTCTAGTCCATTTGCTGTATTATTCAAATGTTAATATAAAATATCTTCTAGGGCCGGCTGGGAACATTTAGGCCGACCATACACTCTTCTCTCTTCTCTTCACTGGCAAACCAGCAAACAATTCATACATTCTTTTTAACAAAAGAATTTTTAAAAGATAAGGAATTATAATTGAAATTACGGTAAATTACTTAAAAGTACCCATGCTTTCTGACAAATACTAACCGTACAGTTTTAAAGCCTACTAAGTACCTTGAGGTTTCAAAAATTCACTTTCTGTTATGTGGGGCTGTTAAATTGGACAAATGACTCTTTTGCCCTTACATTATTCTTCAATTTTTCAAAATGTGCCTTCATTAAACAAAAAGCGTGTGAGCACGACAGCATCATCAAAAAATGGTGAGAAAAAAAAAAAGCTTTGGCTGGTAAGCCCAAAATTGGTAACAACCACAAAGCAATGCTTCTTCTCCTATTGCTTTCAAAATTTAACACAAAAACGACAAAAGAAGTACCTGATGAATATGTTTCTATGTCCTACTGTTTGGGAAAGATCAAGGAAGATTGCTGGGACCATGCAGAAGCCTCATGATTGTTGTCCTAAGGGGTTTGGTGCTCTGCAAGGATGTCTTGTTCGATGTTGACTAGTATTTAAAGAATCAGCAGTGAGCGCCCCGACAAAGTTTGTCTGTTGTCTCTCTAGCCATCAAGATCCACTTCCCAGGAGAACTTGGTGGGATGATTCACCCAACACTCAATTCTGTTCCACACTTGAGACCTTCCAAGTCATTCAATGCTTTGGCATTTCTTCCATTGCCAAATTTCTTCTCTATTTCAGTCCATAGAAAAGCTTCACCAGCCCTTGTATAGCACACAAGCAAGGGATTAACTTTCAGAGATACTATGGGCTGATTGAGTACCATTTTATCTTGTACCTTATTGTACAGTATCTTTTGTTTTCCTTTCTCTTTTATCATTTTATGTAATCTTTTGATATATAATGCAAACCCTTTGGGTGTGTAGAGTGTTAGACACACCCATTCAACCTCTCTTGTCTCTTTTGAACTGTCTCTGTCATAGTATCAAAAGCATGTTCGAACCTGGATGGATGGATCTGCTGAAAGCTCTTCTTTTGATGCTGTTTGCTTCAATTAAAGTGCATTAAAGGACTGCTCTATTGCTTTTTGAAGGCTTTTCCTTTATGAAATCTGATTATTCCACATTAAATCAGATCAGTTTTGAGTGATTCAAAGCCTGTTCTGTTGTTTTTACTTGTTACAACACTTGTTCTTGATGTTACTTTTGCTGAAATGGTCTCAGACAAGAGGAAATTGTTGTCAGTTATGTTTGGTGGAAGCAACTATGTTATATGGAAGTTCCACTTCCAGTTCTATGTTTAAGGCCAAGGGTATTTGGGAGTTGTGTGGATGGTTTGGTGGCCAAGCCTGATGAGTTTAACAGCAAAGGGCTGAAACTGTGGAAGATAGATAATACAAGAATAGCATCGTGGATTCTTGGCTCGATTGAGATTGGCATAGCCATTCCGACGAGGGATTTTAAGATTGTAAAGAAAATGTTTGAATATGTTAGGATCGACAGTACAAGGGTAGTTAAGTCATTTGTCTATCTAATTAAAGTTGAATGGTCTGTTTTGTTTGAGTTTAAGTTCTGTGTCCCATACTTAATGAGGGACAATATTCTCTTTTGTAATCCAGCACATAGAGTATAAATACAAAGTGGGTCGGCTTGGTGAAGTGACTTTTCTTCTCCTAGACTGAACCCTTTTTTCTCCTCTTTCTCTATTTCTCCTTCTTCTTCTTCTTACCCAGAATTAAACTAGGGTTAATCGATCTATTCACATGGTATCAGAGCGGCTATAACAAGCTTAGATCTGCTCAGAATTTTTTTTCTTTTTATCGCCAAGTTCTCTAGGGTTTTGCAGATTTCTCAAGAATTCCTTGGAGATTAAAGGAAAGGCTGTAAAGGAGTGATCGTTTTTTCCCCTAGGAGGCCTCCATGCCTTTAGTTTGTGGTGCGATGGTTGTTTGTGGTGATTTGTAGGAAGCTCTCTAATCGATGGTACGAAGAGAGCAGGTTCGGGTGGTACAGTATTCAGTCGAGTACAGGTCTGGTTTGTGGTGTGCAGTATAGGTGTTATAGTGTGATTTGATGGTTGTTTGGCTGTAGATCTAGTGCTAGGTGTGTGGTGTGCTTTTGGAGGTTTTTTTGTGGTGTTGAAAGTGGAGGATAACAAAGTGAATTAGGGTTTTGTGGTGTGATATACTGGTGAGTGAAAAAAAAATTCAGATATGGGAGATAGTAGTGAACACAAGTCTAGTGTTATGGTTCCCACTAATTACTTGAATGTTTAGATGATCTCTATCAAATTAAATGGTGAGAACTATGTGCCATGGGCTAAATCTGTAGAAGTGTTTTTAAGAGCCAAGAAAAAGGTGAAACATGTGAGAGAGGAGAAACCCCCTTCTGATTCTCTAGAGTTCAGTGATTGGGAACAGGAGGATGCTTAGATTATGACCTCGTTGTGGAATAGCATGGAACTTAAAATTAGTGTGAATTTTATGTTCCTTGATACAACTAAGGAAATTTGGGACCATGCTAAGAAACTCTATTCCAGCAAAGATAATACCACTAGAGTGTATCAACTTTACCAAGAATACTTTAACCTGAAGCAGGGTAATCAAAGCCTAGAAGAAGATTATGCAAGCATGAGGAACCTCTGTAATGAGCTTAATGTGTATCATCC